TGATTCTGGAGATTGCATGAAAGGTAAATTGAAAGGACTGAGAACAAGGACACCAATATGGAGGCCGTATCTGCACGGCTCCAGGGATCAGGGGGAGAAAAAGGACCCAGTGAATGTTTCTAAATGAATCAATGATGGAATGACTACTGTATGAAATGGGACCAAATAGTAAGTGACATAACAAGCACTGCATGTCACAGATGAGTGATAATAAAGTCTTGAATTAGCAAACAGGCAGGGAGGGGGGAAATAGGGGTAAGTAGAGCAAAGTCAATGTTTGGTTTTGGTTTTTGTTTCTTACTAAGTCAAGTCATTTAAGCTTAAGTAATCAACTGTACATAGGGGTTGAAGGAAAGGAATGATGAATTCGGTTTAGGTTTGGCTGATAATGACCAAAAAAAATTAGATTTAAAACAGAGTCCAGGGGCCAGGTGTGGTGGCACACACTTTTATAATCCTAGTAGCTTAGGAGGCTGAGGCAGGAGGATCACAGGTTCAAAGCCAGCCTCAGCAATTAGTGAGGTGCTAAGCAACTCACTGAGACTCGGTCTCTAAATAAAATACAAAATTGGGCTGAGATGTGGCTCAGTGGTCAAGTGCCCCTGAGCTTAATTCCCAGTACCACCCCCCCCAAAAAATAAATAAATCCAGGCAGCAACCCAGAGCTAGTACAATACAGAGTCAGGACTGGGGTCCTTTTTATCCTGTGGCTGAACATCCTCAACATACTGTCTCATGACACAGACCAACAGAGCTGCTGCAGTACCCACAACACATCTCTATCACAGCAAAGGGATTGCAGGAGGGGGCAAGGGAAGGGCATGTTCTCAGTTGTAAAAGAACTGCTTCCTCCAAGTGTTTTCTTTTATACACTCTCATCATTATTCTATAACATCTACTGGGAAAGGGAGGCTAGGAGTGTCTTTATTCTGGCAACCAAGCGATCAGCTAAAATGTGGAAGATGTATGGCTGAGAAATAAGGTAGAAAAGAAAATGGAATGTAACTTGAATCAGGGGTCAAGAATGATTCTCTAATATCTTTGGTGGATATGAATGCAGAAAGGGGGAGGACAGTTTTAAGGAGGTTTTATGAGCCATATGAATGATACTTTGATTTGAGTACATTTGTTTTGGGTGGCCTATGGGATGTTTGGTGGAGAAAACCAACAGGTATTTGGAAACATGCACAGAGGAATCCTTATTCCTCTCCCTTGGCCATGTGTGGAGACTACCGTTACACACCCACCATGCCTTAAAGGTCTCCAGATTGGGCAAAGATAGAAAGTGGAAAAAAAACCACCCAGGGACAAATTTTTTTAAAAAATACTAACAGGCCACTGTTAGACCTGGAGAGCCTTTCACAGCTTTGGACAGGGCACACCCTTGTATGACATTCACTCAGAACCCACCAACATAAAGGCACCTACTTTCTATCAAGAACAAATCAGAGGAAAACTGCTTCTAGGAGGAGCTGCATTGCAGGTGCCTATGGTGGTGATGAGGAAGGAGGGGAAGTCTTAGACATCTAGCGCTACTGGGAGAAGTATGTACCTTGTTTAAAGTCACAGGACCAGGCATGTCAAAGTCATGACCTGACCCCAGATCAGGGTTGCCAGGCTGAGGGGGGTCGCCACTGCACCTGCCAGTAAGAAGCTGACCTGCTCAAGGTGGCAGGGAATAGCAGTCTCTCCGCGCCTTCCTGAGGCATAGCCAAGGATGCAGATGATTTAATCCATTGTTATGAAAGGGGTTTTACAGTGAGCAATTAAGATGCGGTTAAAGCATTAATCACTAATGAATCATTAACTCTGCCCACTATTGCACAGTTAACAAGCTGAGACCAAATTATTAGAGCCAATCCCCAATTAAGAGGAAGACACTGGCTACAAAACACACGGCGAGCCTCTGGCAGGGTGGGGCGCGTCCCTAGGCTCTGCGGGGCCTGGCCTTTCCCAGGCGGATTAGAACGCACCTAGGGCTGGTGCGGAGCAAACAGGAACCGCGACTTTTGATGATTATCTCACCTGAAAGTCTTTCCCAGTCCACCTCCTGGAGGTCTGGATTCCATTCCTGTAGTAAGAATCTGTTGGTGAAAAGGAGCGCTTGGAATGGAGCCAGATAAACGGGCAGGGCCAGGGTGCAGCAGTTTCCCCAGAAATTGTCAATTCACCGATTCATTTGAGCAAGCGAGGGAGGGACTGGCATTCCCTCCTTCCGCCAGAGGGGTTGGGGACCGGCGGAGATTCTCTCTCCAGTTTGACATTTCCCATCTCCCTAAACATTAAACACATGTTTAAAATGAAGCTAGCGGGGCTGTCCCAGTTCGGTTGCTGATCTCCAACCGACGCCCGCCCCACCGGTTTCTCCGTGCAGGCGCACCGTGCCTCCCACCCAGCCCAGCTGGGATCGCATCGCCCCGCGCCTCCCGGTTCCCAGGTGGCTCAGGTGGGAGCTCAGACACACCGAGCAGAGCCGGGCGGGGAGAGGTGGAAACCGACGAGTGACCAGCAACCCGGACCCGCGCACAGAACCCTAGGACACCGTGCTAGGGGGCCTCGGTAGTTTGGCGGCTGCTCTCCGGACCCCACGGAGCCAAAAATCAACTACCGTGTGAGACGGCGCCTCGGTCCTCGGCGTTTTGACAGGTGGGAAATGGGATGGCGAGCTTCTCCAACCGAAATCGACAGCCACTGAACGCTGCGTGGACACATCGCCCTAGAGTGCAGGAAGAGGCTTCTTCAGAAAGGGAAAAACTCCAAAGTTGGAATGCTCCCACCGGCAAGGGTGGCTGAGGGCCGCGGGGGCTTGAGTGGCCCATTCCACGCGGGCTCGGGCTCTGCGAGTCAGCCCAGCAAGCCCCGCAGCTCCAGCAGCGGCGGCACCCCGCCTGACTCCGCCCTCCTCAGGTTGCGGTCTAATTCAACGTGTAGTAGCCCCGCCCCGTGCTCCGAGAGCCCCGCCCTGGGCCCCACCCAACCTGGGTCCCCCGCAGTTCTGTTTCTCGTGATTGGCAGCCAAAGTGGACTTTGGCTGGGCGGCGGCGAGAGTTGGGAAGGGCGTGTCTCCAAGGCTCTTGGAGCGAGATGGTCCAAATTAAGGCCTCTCTCAATCTCGTCTCCTATGCTTGAAACCGCACTGGAGCTTTCCTCCCTGCACCGTTTACGACCATTCCCAACTGATACACGCTTCCCTTTGGTGGATACTAATGGCAAAACCTGAGCCAAACCTGCAGTATCTTTATGGAAGATTCAAGAACTAGTAGATGTGGATTTTAGAAAAGTGAATGTAGGCTTGCAGAACAGTGAGGGGGTGGGAGAGGTCTTACCCTTGGGATTCCTGAAAGACTTGTATCCGTCCCAAGCCAGAGCTAGCAGTCGGGTTCTGGAAGCCTTGCCACACGTTGGCCAGAACCTCTGCGTATTCAGTGGCCATGATGCTCAGCAGCGGGACCATGGGACCACGAGCTTCAGGGTCACCCAGAGCTTTAATGCCTTTTAGCAAGCAGTTCTCACCTCCAGTCTAAGTAAGGGATTCCAGCCCCACTACTGGCCTGACAGTGAATCTCCCACCTTAGAACTGCTTGGCCAGACAAGGGAAGAAGTTTATCTAAATCTCCCCCAGAAAAGCACTTACAGCTAGTGCCCACTCTTCAGGATCTCAGTTCCCAATATAGCCTAATAAGTTCTTCTTAGGAATCGAAATAAGGAGAACCCAGGGCCTCGAATTGTTTTTCTATTTATCTTTCCATATGCAGTTTTTCTATTACTTCCCTTCCCTCTTCTATAATTTAGTTACATCTGAGAATGGATGCTCTTCTAAATCATCGCTGTAGCCACATTCCCATTGCAGAGCCAAATCCTTGGGAAATAATCATAAAAACACTAATAGCTAATGACCATTGAAGCCTTGCTATGTTCTAGCACTCTTCCAAGAAGTTTACATCTACTCAGATAAGCCCACAACAACCTTATCTGGAAGACACAATTGACCTCAGAGGCACAGAGAGATTGCCTGGGATAACAGGAAGTGCCAGCCAGTTCATGATCATACTGCATGTTCAGAAGACGTTGCTGAATAAACTCTTCTTATTTCAGAGGGAGAGCAAAAGGATAGAAAAAGAAGGAGAAGAAGATGGGGGGCGGGGAGGAGATGAAGGGAGGAGTAGTGGAGAGGAGACAAAATGGATAATCACATAAATGATCTAAAGAAAGTGATGCTGGGGAGCTGGGGTTGTGGCTCAGTGACAGAGCGCTTGCCTTGAATATGTGAAGCACTGGGTTTGATCCTCAGCACCACATAAAAATAAACAAAATAAAGATATTGTGCGCATGTACAACTAAAATTAAAATCTTTTAAAAAAAAGGTGATGTTCATGGGATGGGCAAAGTCACAGTCACAGGTACCCAGAACTGTGGAAAGGAGGAGGACAGAGCAAATATATTCACCTGGGACCAGTGAAGTTGGGAGTTCTCAGAATAAATCATCAGATCACCCCTATTAAAAGCAGGGATTAAAGGATGAAGTAGAAGGTAGGCCAAACTGAAAGAACTTTACATACTCATGCACAGTGTTGTTCTTTTTTTTTCCTTGCTAAGAACTAATATCACTTGGTCGACCCCATCCATTTCCCCCACACAGATCCTTGTAAAGGAAAAGTGCAGGTATTACTTCCTGCCTCTTGAGGAAATTATTGTATTCAAATTCTTACTGACAAGCCTACTATATACAAGGCAATAGATGAAGGTCCAGTTTACCCATCCCTGGCTATGTAATAGCCTCTCATAACCCGCCAGAACAGGGACTGGCTCCTGCTGTGACACTCCCACTATACTGAGCCCCAGGATACTCATCCATCTCCTAACTCGGTTCAGGAACCGGTGAGCAGTACAGAAATATTGTGAAGCCGTGAGAACCTCTATTACCCCATGTATTATTGCCTTATGTCCGGCACTTGGTTGAAGTCTTCACGGGGGATACTTATTCCATCTTTTCACACACCCCCCCCGCTGAGTTAGTGCCCATATAAATGGCAAAAAGGGGGTCGCCACAGCCTTTTTGCTGAGGACCTACAGGTAGTTGTTGGTTTGCAGCTAAGGCACGGCCACAATGTCCTGGGTGCTCAAACCAGGCGGGAGCAGGACTCCTGCAGCAGGAATCCAAGTTAGCGCAGGCAGTGGCCCAGCTTCGGAGGTTAACCGCGGATATAGCGGCAGCTTGGGTCAGAGTCCTGGCTGCTCTTCGCCCTGAACTCCAAGAGACTGCGGGAACTTCTCAAGACCGCGGGGACTCCGAGATTTCTTCCCTGCCCCTGAGTCTGGTGCCAAAGAATTAAGAATACTGCTCCCTACGCTCTCTGAGATAGAGCCCACCGAGCAGGGGCACAGAGCGCTCCAGGACACTCTCCACTCTCGGAGCGCAGCAATCAATCCCACTCGCGGTTAACAACTCCGGGTTGGGCGGTGTCGGGCAGACAAGAGAGGCGTGGGGCTCAAAAAGAGTCTCTCTACTTCAGTCCTCGGAGAATTAATTTCATTAACTCTTGGTGGCAAGGATGGCACCAGCCCTGAGATCAGCACAGTGATCTGAGAACGGCCTTCCCCGCGACGCAGACCGGAAAGGGGGCGGGGAAGGGCAGGGAGACCTCTGGAGCTACAGGACGCTCAGATTTCGCCCCGGAAGGTGTGGTGGGCGCTGCTTATTGGGTTGGAAGTAGCACCCCGCGATCAGCTATTGGACTAGGGAGGAACTGGGGACACGTAGCATCAGAGTCTTAGGCCCCTACACCTGCAACCCACCGCACGCACGCACGCGTGCACGCACCGGGGAAGAGCGTCTCTGGTCGAGAGCCGCAGCACACAGGATGGCGACGATTCTGCGTTGTAGTAAAGTATGCCCAAATTTGCACCGAAGGAACCCCGAGCTCCAGCGCACTCCTCTGCGTTCTCTGACCCACCTAGTCCATCACCGTTCACTCCTCAGGTAGCCCCAAATTCACTCCCCCTGTCTCAGCGCGTTCAATCAGAATCAAGTCCAAACAAGCAAATCTTTAATTCTCTTTCCAAACACCTTGAAACTACTCATACAGTTTCTCAAACTATATTTTTCTGACTTATTCCTTCCCCTTCCGGAAACCAAGGTTAGAAGCAGTGGATCCTTGAATATCGAGGATCTGGCGCTGGCAGGGAAAAGAGCAGGGTGCCCAGCGGAGCCACCCTCCAGCATCAGAACCTGGGGACGGAGGTTGTTAATGGAAGTGCCCAGAGGGCCACCTCCGGCCTGACGGCTGGTCCTTCCCTATGAGTCGGGAGCAGGCGCGCGACCCTAACCCACGCCCGGCAGGCGGCTTGCAGGAGGGACGGGGAAAGAGTGGCCCAGTGAGGGGTCCAGGAGAGAAAGGGTTCGGGACCGTGCACTCGGTTCGCAGTCAACACGCAGCAGGCTCCTCAGTCCCCCTTAGAGGGTCTGCCACGGCTTCCCGATGGCCTGGATGTGCTCCTTGGCTTTCAGACGCAGCGCAGCAATGCTGCTGTTGCGCGGGTCCGCCTCGTCTAGCGGAAACTTGTCCCCGAAGCCGGGCCCGCATGGGTAGGCGGGCGGCGGCGGCGGCCCGAGCGGCTGCAGGCCGGGACCC